TATTGGCGTTAATTAATACCTCTCTGGCATGCATTCACGTATTAGATGTGTGCATCAATTTCCGCCGTCGAATTCCAACGGCCGTTGCCGAACATGTTAGAGGTTTAGCGGTGACACCTATCATATTCTGTAAGATAGGGTATTGGCTACCTACTTGAGGGCAGACAGATCAGTTTTTCCCCAAAATCAATTTGCTCTCAGACTGATTGGTCATGGATCGTAATAAACCGTTTTCCCGGGGGCCCTTCTCCTGCTGTTTGATTCGAGAAAACTGGCATTGAAGCCCACCGGATTCTTTAGGGGAGGACAAGCTCCATCTGAACGAACCTGCTGAGATGGTTTCCCTTCACTAGAGAGCTTCCAAAGAAAGCGGAATGTTTATTGCCAAAAAGTAATTCTGTGTGTGCATTTGGTGGTGGGATCAAAAGGGTGTTGTGTACTATGAGCTGCCGAGCCTGAACGAAACTGTTACTGCTGACCGCTACGAACACCAACGTGACGGCTTGTAGGATGCTATCACCAACAAGCGGCCGTTAATCGCAAGAAAATATCTTGAGGTGCTGTTCCACCACGAACATGCCAGACCCCAGGTTGCGAAGAATGTCCTTTGAAAAAATTGCAGTTGTTTGATGGGATCAGCTTGTTCAGCCCACATACTCTCCAAATCTTTCTCCTTCTGATTACCACCTATTACGGTCCATGCAAGTCAATTTGGTAGATACACGCTTCCGGAATGCCGAAGAAGTGCGAAAATGGGTGGATAACAGGATTGCCTCAAAAGATAAAGACTTTTTTGGACCCGGAGACAACAAGATACCAGAAAGATGGCAAGAATTTGTAGCAAACGATGGGCAATACATTGGTTAATGTACATTTGGTTTTAACTTTGTAATAAATGTTTTTGTACGCAAAAAACGGCGGAAATTAATGCACACACCTAATAAATAGAATGAGGATCTACCATGACTGACTCTCCATTAATTTCAGCATGGTCTTAGAAACAATTGTTGTTGATTAAGTTAGCCTTCGAGACTGGTACCAAACTTTATTAACGACTAAGGTTTGAACAAATCGCCTTTTTCGGGCACTGTAGGCCGATTCTTTATTTGTGATTCATTAGGTTACCTTTTCGAATTACAAGAAGAATATTCTGAGGGAAGTGAAACAAAAGCGATGAAGCTGACCTGTTCTCAAGCGGAACTATTTTGTCGGTACCCCGAGGACATGATTCCTCATGGTATTGGGCCTAGATGTCGGCTTAGAAAGAACTCCAGAGGACCCTAGGGAAGAAACTAATAACTAAGTTCATCCGGTCAGGTTTCCTACCGATGATCGCGCAGCGCCCTGGATATTGGTTTTCAAAGGCACAGTTCACGATAAAAAAATGAATGTCACCCCCATCGGCCGATGCTATGTCAGAAGAGTGTAGAGGCGAGACATTTTGTAATCGCACCAGGACGCACTTGTTCAGCACACGATCAGCTCAGTGGTAAGAGGATGTTTTATTCCAATTCTGTTTTTCTTTGCTGTCCTTTTTGCCGTTGCAGTCATTCTGCAGGTTTTCTACATGCTTAGCTGCAGAAGAATATCCATAATGCGGAAGAACAGTAGAAAAAGGTGAAGATCGACCCTTTAGCGACAACGTAATCAGTCGCTTAATTGCACACATTGCAGGAGGCCTTGTCCCGATTACCCCTTTCACGCCTTTTTTCTGCCTGAGACTCGTCCAATCCTCGGTTTCACTACTTTTTCTAACCTTCGTTTTTTCGAAATACGCCGATTCTCGCACTCTATTCACCTCATTTGCACTGGTCTGAGCGATCTCTTTCATGTCTAAAATCGGATACCCGAAAATATCGTGACCTTTGCCT